AGGAGAATATCGGAGGATCCTACATTCGTTCACCCACCAGGCTTCAATGACTCCTTGAACAGATAAAATGCAGTTCGGTTCATGGTTCGTGGTGTGCCGGTTCACCGAACCGTCGCAAACTTTTAGCCACCAAACGAACTATTGCTATTTGCAAAAGGCACATTCTTCCTCATCAATAGAAATGCATACTTTCATCTTTAACCATGAACGATCCATTTGAAAGGGAAACGATATCAATAATTACTCTTTGCCTTCCCTGTTGCAACCCAGAGATCTTCTTCAAAAACCCTTCTTAGAGGTTCGAATGATATCTGCTACTATTAAGGAACGGCCAGTCATCGTATTAGACTTCTGCATGTCCTAAGCTTTATCAGCTCCTTTAAACCATGTTCAGAGAACTGCAGAAAAATGTTTCTGGAATGTTTATCTTGACTGATACAATCTTTACTGTAGATCTCTGTTCCAAGGGTTTACTGTGCATGTCACACCACAGGAAAGTTCAACACCACAGGAAGTGGTGGGTGCTACAAGCATGGACGGCTTCAAAAGGGAATTAGATAAGCATATGGAGCAGAGGTCCATCAGTGGCTATTAGCCACAAGGTATAGCTAGGGGCTCTGGGGCAAGTGATGCTCTGTCTTCTTGGTGCTTGGGGGGGGTCAACAGTGGGAGGGCTTCTAATGTCCTGGCCCCACTGCTGGACCTCCTGATGGCACTGGTATTTCTGGCCACTGTGTGACACAGAGTGTTGGACTGGATGGGCCTTTGGCCTGATCCAACATTGGCGTCTCTTATGTTCTTATGTTCTTATGTTCCTAATTTGACCTGGAGAATTTGAGTTTAGACTGTCCCGTTATGGAAATTTGCATGGCAAAGACCTCAGTGCGTCTAAGAGTTGGCTGTAGTTATATTTCCTACATCTAGTTGGAGTGGACATGCCAAAGAAAAGAAGCGGAGGGTGTGTTCCCCTGCCCCCGAAAAGATGGCCTGCTCTCACAATGACCGTATATACCAGAGGTCCCCAATGTGATGTCCATTGGTGTCATGGTGTCCAACAACAACTTTTCTGGTGCCCGCCAAGTGTTTTTAGAAAGTGGGCGAGGCCAGCTTTTGCCTAGCAATGCTTCCGATTGACCACTGAAGATGCGAATGCCTGTACAGATCTTTAAAAATGTTGTTTTGGCAGCGGCTACCATCACAGCACAAGGATCTTCATGGTTTGACTGAAAAGCCGCGGCAGCCACTTTGTCGCTGGCTCCACCTCCTGCAGCAGCCATTTTGTGGCAGCCATTTTGTGACTGCATCTATCACACTGCCAGATTTCCAAAGGCTCAAAAAGGTTGGGGACCCCTGGTACATACATTCCTGTTTCATTTCCCTGTAGGAATGATTGTTATTTCACCACAGCTCGAGCAGATCACCATCTCTCGGTATGATCTGAGTCTCGTCCTGTTCATTTCCAAAACAGTGGTTCAAGACTGTGGGCTTGCTTATCTTGGTACCAAGCCACCACTGTGGCAATTTTTTATTTCGTTTTTTAAAAATATTTTTTACGTGTGTGCATGTGTGTGTACGTGTGCACCTCAAAGTCATGGTGACCTCTGATGATTGACTGTGTGTGCACCTGGAAGTCATAGTGGTCTCTGGTGACTAACCCCTACTAGGGGCCTGGAGGATATTCAGAGAGGGGGCTGAATAAAGCCTGCCCCCATCTCCCGCCTCTGGAATCCCAAGGAAGTCTCCATACAAGTACTCCCCCCGCCTCTCGCCTCTGGAATTCCAAGGAGGTCTACATCCAGGTATTTGCCAGAGTTGACCCTGCTCAGCTTCCAAGATCTGACAAGACCGGGTTTGCCTGGGCTACCCAGGTCAGGGCATAAATATATATATAAATCCCTGCTTCATTACCGCAAGAGTTAGAAGCCTAGGCAATTCCTTCTGGAATAAGCTATTAAAATTACTCCACTTGCAAAATGTTGTTCTTATTGTCCTCTGGAGAAGAGTTCAAAACATATGTGGATCTTTATAGATTATTTTGTTTGTTGCACCGGCTGGATTTGGACTGTTCCTCTCCCGTGGTGCTGTCTTTTGGTGTGTTTATGAGAACGGGTGTACAAAAAGTACTCATTACCTGGCTCCAAATTCATGCTTGAACATGGTGTAGATCAGGGGTGTCGAACTCATTTGTTATGAGGGCCGGATCTTACATAAATGAGACCTTGTTGGGCCGGGCCGTGTGTGTCATAAAAGGTAATGCCAGGGAGCGGAGATATAAACTTTATAAAGGACACAAACACAAAGGGGTTTTTTCCCCTTAAAATAAAAACATGCCTAAAACATCAGCACTCTTGCAATATTTTGTTTATTTAACAGTGTCTGATAACTGACACCTCTTGCTCTGAATTATCGCCTCAAAATGTCTGTGCTGTTGCAATCTAGAGTATGCTGTTCAGGTGTGTATATCTGTAAGCTGCAAACCTACGATGACGCAGCAGCAGCAGAAACAGGAAGAAGAAGCAGAAGACAGCCAGTTCCACCGCGGACCTGATAGAAGCCCTCCACATATTTGACACCCCTGGTCTAGATTGACGACAAGCCCGGGAGCAGGATTATCTCTTTGGCCCCCGTGACTAATTCCCGCTGCATGTGTGCATGCATGCACACACACACATGTACACACAGTGACATCCTGTTGGCACCACACCTCCCCTTCTCAGGCCACTCGTGTTTCAACACCCTGAATATGGCTACCTCAAGAAAATTCATTTCTCCGCCATTCAGTTGGGTTCTTCTTTCCCTTGTAGGTCTTGGACAAAACTTAACTGTCCCATGCCCTGGTACCAACCATGACTCATGTAGACAAAAAAGAGTACTGCCTGAGCCAGCCTGCTAACTTGACACTTTCCATTTGTGACTTTAGCTTTGGCAGCAACGGCCATGTTGGCTCCTCATCTGGGAGAGTCAAAGTCCTCTTATCTCATGAAAAATGATAACCATAATTGCTTTAGTAAGTGAGAGTGCTAAATCTTGGCAAGTGTAAGTCCAAGGGACAAGGAAGTTGTGTTTGGGATTAACCGTGACAGTTTTTGGATGAGTCTCAGGGAACTGATTTACAGTGCGCTTTTTAGGTCAAGTCTCCTATTGGTGATGGTATTTTCTCGAAAGAAACATAAGAATGCCGCTGCCCATTGCTTCATTCTAGGGAGGTGACTTCTTACATGCATGACTTTTGCTTTTCCCCATTGTTTTCAATCGTGGCTCTTGAGGTTACAAAATAATTAGACATCATTCATGTGGAATATGCTTCCACAGTTAGCATCCACACATCTCCCAGCGTCCTGCAACTATCTGATTCTGATCATCTGCCTCTAACAGTGACTTCCCTGCCCTTGGTTGAGAATTATAGCCTTTAGACTGAGTGGTGCAGCAGGGTAAGGCTTGCTTGCAAAAGAAGGATTGTGGTGGAGTCCTGTAGATGCTTTCATGGGGATTCCCCACCACCACCATATGGAAAGCAGGAAGCCTCAGTATTAAAGGGGAATTTCAATATGGCATTGTGCTAATTCCAAGCATGACTCATGGTGTCCTAGGACTTCCCCTTCTAGTTTGGAGTTAAGCTAAATTGGGTTTCCTTTGGTTGTGCGTAAAGTGTCCATCTGGATTCTCTCCCATCACCAGTACTGAGAGGGGGCAGAGCTGAGGTCCACTTTCAAAATGGCCTGGAGGAGCTTCCTGCCATTTGCCTTTCACATTCCCCTTTTTAGACCCTTAAAGGACTTCTTGGCCTTCCAAGTTGCTTTGTAGTGTTAAAGCATGGCTCAGGGAAAGTGAAACTTGGGGATTTCTGGACCGTGTGTGTGTATGTGTGTGTGAATGAGTATGTGGCTTAATCGTCATTGTTTCTGTGTTTTGCATAGGCATTACGAGAAAGGGGAATGGTAGGGTTGGTGGTAGCAACAGTGAGCAAAGCAAGAATGGGAGTGCATGGACCATTATCTGCAGCTGCCACCACGGCAGGAGCATAATAGGCCACACCCAACAGCAGGAACGCATTAGGATTGGCTACATTAGGGGTGTGTGGCTAACATGCAAAGGAGTTCCTGCTACAAAAAAAGGCCCTGGGTTTTGACAACAAGCAAGGTAAACAGAATAAGAAGCAAAAGTGTGGCTGGATGACCACACTTCTGGTAACATGGGGGTGTGGCCTAATATGCCAATGAGCTGTGCTGTCCGGGGTGTGGCCTAATATGCGAATGAGTTCCTGCTGTGGGGTGTGGCTATTATGCTAATGAGTTCCTGCTGGGCTTTTTCTACAAAAAGAGCCCTGCAGACCTCTAATAAACCAACAGTGTAGTGTGAAATGACTGAAGGCTCAGTTTTCCACCTTCACAACATTGCCAAATATGAGTGATACCAAGCACAGTCCATCAGATGTGAGTGGCAGTCAAAATCCCATTGAAAGCAGTGGGATTTGTTCATCCAGGTGAAGGCTTCATTCCTGCATGCACTTTCTTGGGAATAAACTCCAGTGATTATAGTGAGATTTATTTCTAACTAAACATTCATTAGGTCAGGCTGCCTGACACAGTCCATTCCTTTAGCAGCAATTAGGACTGGCTGGATTATATTTGATAAGCACCCCTCTTACTTTTTCTCTCCCAGACATACACACAGAAAGTCACAGCCTGTTTCCATTTACAAGCAACTCCATCCATCATGTCTTCCACAAAGTGCAGGAAAGGCTTTTGCTCATCAGAAGGGGAAATTTCAGATCTTAAGGCTTAAAGAGAATGCCATAATTCTTCTGTTCAGAAGATCAAACGAAAAGGAATGGGACGATTCACTAATTTATGTGAAGAGGAATTTATTGCTTTAAAGCATACATCATGGGTTTTCTATTTTATTAAACATACAAATGCAAAATCCTTGGCAAAGTCTGCAATGCTGCTACATTAAATAGAAAAAAAGATCTTTTTATTTCCCTCCCCCCCCCCTTTAAAAAAAATTAGCCATTAAAAAGCCAACAACGTGCAACGTAGTGTCTTCTTCACATGTCAGCCCGCACGAAAGATGCAAAGATGCCGTCTTCCTGAGCCAGTAGATTCTCTGGTGTGTCATATTCCAAAATGTTCCCCCGTTTCATCACAATGACCAGGTCTGCCGTCAGGATGGTGTGAACCCGATGCTGCAATTAACATAGATTATCTATTACCTTTTGGGGGTGTAATGATACCAGTATCTATTTATATTGTCAGAATCTAGTTCACATAGTAGAAAAGAGCAAGATTCCAGCTCCATGTCTCTGTATTTCTAAGCAAAGTGGGGCTTGAAGGCTAGGGTTCGTGCCGGGCTAAGTCACACACTACAGTGTTGTTGCTTTTCAGGAGTACTATTCTGCTGTTTTAAGTGTTTGCTGAGAGCCAGTTCGGTGCAGTGGTTAAGAGTGGCAGACTCTATTCTAGAGAACCGGGTTCGATTCCCCACCTCCCCACTTGAAACTAGCTGGATGACCTCAGGCAAGTCACAGTACTCTCAGCCTAAAAATAAGCATAGCTCACCACCTAGTGGTGCCAAAAAAGAGCTACAGCTTCGGCAGCCATAGTATGCCACCAGGGGATATCCTGGTTATTCCACACACAATGCCATACAATAATTCAATTTTAGCGTTTGCTTGAACCTGTTGAAATGTGTGTGTGTGGGGAAAGTAAGCTGTCTCAATGGCTACATCTTTAAAGTCACATGGGCAGTGACATCACCCTAAGAGAAGGAGTAAGGAGAATATAAAGTGTCAACAACAGATTACCTCTTTTCAGATCTTAATCTCACTCAGTGCTATCCAAAACTCACTGCAAATACAGGTAATATACAATCATGATTCCTTATAGTCAGGAGGTACCTGAATTCCCTGCTGCTACAGGTGGCAGCTACTGGGGAATCCCAGGTACATCACTGATACCCGCTTACAATTTCTAGCTGGGCACGGGTGATAGTGGAATGCTAAGAGCAGGATTATGGAGCGGTTTCACAGTTGCGGGAAAGACGCTTGTCGAATAGGAAAATATTTCATTTACATATTTATTTGTTTAAAACATTTATTAGCGGCCTTTTTTCCTTACAGAGACCAAGGCGGCTTATAGCACAGATAAAAGACATAAAACAGGCTTCAGTTGCCTCCTAAAGATTGAAAGGGAGGGGTCCTCTCTGGGGAGGCTGTTCCATAATTGTGGGCTGCCACTGGAAAAGCCCCCTTTTGTATATTTTTATTGATTTATTGCATTTATATCCTGCCCTATCCCATGATGGGCTCAGGGCGGCTCACAACAGACATATAGGTCTTTAAAGTTCAAAACCAGCACCTTGAATTGGGCTCGGTAGCCTGCATATTAGCTGTAATATTGGGGGCACCTGCTCCCAAAAGCTGGCCCCGAACAGCAGTCTAGCAGCAGCGTTCTGCACTAGCTGCAGCCTCCGAACACTCTTCAAGGGCAGTCCCAAGTAGAACACGTTGCAGTAGTCCAGTCTAAATGTAACTAAGACATGGCTAGAGGTGACTGATCCAGGAACGGATGCAGCTGACGCACCAGTTTGAATTCAGAAAAATATGTGTCTGAGCTATTAAACCTCCCTGCAGAATATAATTGAAAGTATAAATTGAAAGTATAATATCACATAGCCTAAACAAAGTACCAAGGTTGGCCATGCTTGAACAGAGAAAAGAAGCAGATCGAGCTAAAGGCAGAAGTACCAGAAGGAAGAGTCTTGCGGCCAAGAGCGTCTATTTGTTGGTTTTCACCAAAATGGCAAACAGGCCGTCCTTTTTGAGGAGCAAATTGGAGGCACTGTCGCACTCGACAAGGTCACCGTCTGAAAGGACCAAGACAAGGTGGGCATCCAGGATTTGAGAGACCCGGTGCTGGAGGCCAGAAGGAAGGTGGGGAGGGAAAGAAGGAAAGAAGAATGCAAGAAAGGTCAGGCGAGCGGGCAAATAATGCCGAGAGGACACCGAGCGGAGAACGAGAAACGTGAATATAAATAGAAACACACATTTTTGGTCGAGAATGTCAGTGGAAAGAGCGAAACAGAGTGAGCAAGAAAGCACAGTGTTCCATATAAGAATCTAATAAACCAAGCTTACACATTCCCATAATTCCTTCCTTAGATGTGTTATTCCCCCCCCCACCTCACCCCATCACCCTATGCATCTCATTTCTCAGGACACACCAAACACGACAGCCTGCAGTCCGATTACACAACTGTGTGAATCTTCCATGTGATAATCCTACAAGTGCATCAATATCTATGTGTCCGTTCCCTGGGGATCTGCAATCTGGGTTGCCAACCTTCAGGTTGTGACTGGAAATCTCCTGGGATTGCAACTCATCTCTGGGTGACAGAGATATGTTTCCCTCGATAAAATGGCCACTTGGGAAGGTGGACTCTACGGCATTATACCCCACTGAAGTCCCTCTCCTCTCCAAACCCCACCCTCCTTAGGCTCTACCCCCAAAATTTCCAGGTATTTCCCAAATCTGAGCTGGCAACGCCAGCTGCTATGGATTAAGCTTGTCAGGCTATGTGACAATTTGCATGGTCTCAGCATAATCACATGTGATTATCTGTATCTAGAATCTTCCTTCTAGTCTCCTAGAAGGAAGGGACTTCTTTGTTCAGATTCTGAATCTTAGGAAAGTATGGCCGATTCCCAGGGCTTTTTTTGTGGAAAAAGCCCAGCGGGAACTCATTAGCATAATAGGCCACACCCAACAGCAGGAACTAATTAGCATATTAGGCCACACCCCTGACAGCACCGCTCATTGGCATTATAGGACGCACCCCCATGTTACCAGAAGTGTGGTCATCCAGCCACACCCACCTTTTGCTTCTTATTCTGTTTACCTTGTTTGTTGTCAAAACCCAGGGCCTTTTTTTGTAGCAGGAACTCCTTTGCATGTTAGGCCACACACCCCTAATGTAGCCAGTCCTAATGAGTTTCTGCTGTTGGGTGTGGCGCATTATGCTAATGAGTTCCTGCTGGGTGTGGCCAACTTGGAAGCCAGCCGGAACTCTTCTTGATCCTAAAAAATAAGGATCCTAAAAAATAAGGATCAAGAAGACACGGGGGAAATCGGGGGGAGATGTGGGTCAAAATGCGGCTGCACAGCAAATAGTGGGAAATTGAGCGGTACAACCAGGGGAAACTTTGGGAGACTGTGGGCGGTACAACAGCTTTTGCGGAATCGGTCTATGACCAAACTAATATTGTTTCCCTCAGACCT